GGGGGGGAGTTGTCAGGAATGACGTTAAAAAAAAAAAAAAGGAAAATGGCCAAAAAGAAAAGAAAAAGGCAAAGCAGAGGAGAGCAGTGCCCGGTGCTGCTGTTTTTGTTTGGGGCAGGCCAGGTAGGTCACGGCAGCAATTAGCAGCGGGCGGGAGGCCGCGGGGAGCGGCTGCGTGGGCTGCCGCGCCGGGCTCCTGCGGGCACGTCGCGAGAAAACGTGACCAGGGAATTGAATTAAAGACTGGTGGGTTTTTTTTAAACTTCTGCTAAATTTTGGATCTGATTGAGTCAATTTCTGTACCAGTTTAGACAGCTGCCAGGGATGGGCCATGTTTTATCTGGGCTACCTCATTTTTGTAGGTCACCAAGAACAGGAGCCCAATTTTGGAATGGGAGAGGGGGAGTGAGGAAAGCAGATCCTTTAAAACAGCTCACTGTAAAACTGGATTGGTGTCTCACATACGTAATATRCCAGGCATAATGAACAATTTTATATAAAAGCTTTAGCTTTATTCACGTTTGTAGGAAACCCGTATGCACTAAAATGAAGGTGTTTTCAGTAATACATGAATCAAAGAAAATGGTTTTAAACAACTATATAATCTGACAATGAAATGGTGACATTTCCTTCATTTCAAATATTCTTCCTTACACTACTTACTTGTGGCAGTAGGAGAATGTCAGCTGGGGAAAATGTGGAGAGTTCATTAAGCTTGGCTTAAAGATACTAGGCTATGATTTGTAAAGGTGACTAAGAAGTCAGAAAACCAACTTGAGCTGATTTTTTTCCCCACAGTTCAGTGTCTCATTGACCTCTTCTGCTCATAAAAATTCCTTTATCAAATGTCCTGGCTAAGAAAAGGATTCAGGTCATTCTTCCAGTAGCTTATAAATTTTCTGGATACAAACATCCAGCCTTCCTTTTAATAAGGCTTGTGATTCTGATAATCTTCTAGTGTCACTCTCCTACTGCTAGAGAACAGTTCTAAAGCATGTTGAGAGATTCCCTTTTCTGTAGAAAAATAAAGGTGAGATTTCTTCAGTCTTTACTGAAGAAATCCTTTCCCTATAAAGGAGTAGGAGAACATCTAAATGCAAGGCCAGTGTTTTGAACGTGCTAGTATGTACAAACTTTTTTTGCAATTTTCGCTGTAGATAATGTCTTGTAACACCCACTGCGTTTAGAAGTCTGGACTACACGCATCACTAGATGCGGTTCTATTCTGTAGCAGGCAAGTGGTGTTAAGAAAATTCTGTGTTTCCAATCTTTAGAAATGAGTTGCACGATTGAGAAAGCCCTAGCAGATGCCAAGGCGCTGGTGGAGCGGCTCAGGGAACATGACAACGCTGCAGAAGCTCTTATTGAACAGACTACAGCTCTTAACAAGCGCGTGGAAGCAATGAAACAGGTTTGGTGTTCCGTGTGTGTTTTCTCTATTCAAAACAACATTCAGCCTGTGACATGTTAATATGCCTGTAAAATAATAAAGCCCTTCGTGTGCTTCATGCCTGTCAAATTAGTCATGCACAGGCCTTGTGACTTTAAGTAGAGGGTGTCAAATAGTAAAGTGAAGGGTGTCAGATAGAATAATGTATTGGGAAGGTATAGTAAATATCTCATATTTAATGCCTCATCAGTTTTAATCACTGGTGGTGAATTTGGTCTACACTAAGTCACTGAAAATTAAAACAGGCACATTTTTTAAATTTGTGGTATTAAGCTTCTTATAAAAGAAAGACAATACTTTTGTATCTGTGAAGGGTATTAAGTTAGTGAAACRTTCCGATGTAAGACTGGGATTTGTTTTTGAAAAGAAGCTGTTTAAAAATAAGCATCATCTTGCTAGCCTCAGGCTTTGACATAAGAATTGGTTCTTGCTCGTCTTCATTGACTGATATTGTTGCTGTTTTTAAATGRCTAGTACCAAGAAGAAATTCAAGAGCTTAATGAAGTAGCAAGACATCGTCCTCGGTCTACGCTAGTGATGGGTATCCAGCAGGAAAACAGACAGATTAGGGAACTGCAACAGGAGAATAAAGGTAAGGCTGGAGTATTCTACCCTTTTTGAGCTCCTAACTTGCCCCACTGGAATCAGCAGCAGTTGCATTGATTATAGAGTGGTTCTATATGAAATTTAGTTTCTTACAGTCTTAGTTTATCAGTTTAACTGGTCCTGATGTAATAGAGTTCTAATGACAACTACTAGCACTATGATTAATGGGGGGAAAAAAGAGTTCTGGAAGATGAGTTTTTTTGGACCATATCTTGAATTTCAGTAAAAGTCATGAAATAATACTTACAATATAGATATCTATTTAGAAACAGGTTTCCCATTGCTAAAAAGTAACTAATTTAGGAGCAGTCTCGTTGCACTCCAAAACTCTCCTGTAATTCTTTGGGCGTTCTGACAGTTATATTCAGCAAAGGAGCCAGTGATCTTAATTCGTGTCAATAATGTGTCATCTCAGGAATTTTATCTTTTTATGATGATTTTTCTTCCTTTTTCCCATGTCTTTTGAGTTGGCTACGTGGAAAGTTCTGCTTTGCAAAATTTAAAAATTTTTAACTAAGAATCAGAGTATTTTAGTCTTTTAGATTAGAGCAAGCCTTGGTATATTTTGAACACAGGTATTCTTTCTACCTTTATTTCATAAAGTTGTATATTAAAAGAGATCTGTAAACTGCTTTTCCGATTACATATGGTGTTGATTAAAGTGTCTAGAATAAAGCTCTGAAGAGCCTCTGATTTTGACCATACAAGAATTTTCCCACTGCAGTCATCACTAAAGACATTTATAGTCACTATGTAGATTTTATGGTTCATGGAATTGGGGTGCTCAGTTAAGAGCTTTTTACAGTTTTCTCACGGTGAAGATTTTTTTAATCTTTTTTTCCAATAAAACCTTAACTGAATTTAAAATTCTGTTTGTAGAACTACGCACATCTCTTGAAGAACATCAGTCTGCTTTGGAACTGATAATGAGCAAGTACAGGGAACAGATGTTTAGGTTGCTCATGGCGAGCAAGAAGGATGATCCCAGCATTATAATGAAGTTAAAAGAGCAACATTCCAAAGTAAGAACTCATTTTGGCTTCTTGGGTTGTTAGCTTGTTTTGATTAAGACTTAATTTYGTTTTTAATGGATTGATACAATACTTAATCTCAGATTTTCTATCACTGTACTAACAAATTCTAATTTTTACAATGTAGTCTCTGAAACATGAACAGGAAACTTAATCAGCCTGGTAAGTTAATCTGACTAGCTGCTGATCTATTTAAGCATCTGTTAATTAGTATTTTGCCGCTACAACTTCTTAATTTGCTTTTTAATTAATTAATTAATTTATTTATTTTTATTAGGTCTTTAAACTCTGCTCTATTAAACTTCCAGATTGTATTTCCATTTTAATAGTATTCAGACATTTGGACTGTCTTTTAACTTTTGCCTTTGATACCAATAAATAATTAGTGCTTATGGGAGAGAGTGGGAAGGCAAGGTTTTTACATTCAGTGTTTTTTCTCTAAATATTTATCTTTTAAAAAACACATCTTTAAAATCCTTTTGAATCGGGAATGGCTGGGTGTACAGACCTTCTCTTTCCTGCCTTCATGGGTGGTTCTTGTTTCAGTAGTGATCAAACTGCTGAGTAGCATCCAGATCAGCCTGAAGTGCTGGAGTGGTGGGCAGGTTGCTGGGATTAGGTGAGCCTCTCATGGCTTTTGAAAACTGGAAAAAGAAGGTGCTATTAAATAGTGTTTTCCTAAGCTATCCTGAGTGAGGTATGTGCACATACTCCAACAGCTTTAGATAAGATTAGCCTATATTTTTATAGCATTAATAAATAACATATATACACTGCCTTAAAAATAATTTAAATGTTTACAAGTCATTAACCAATTTAAGTTTTAGCTTTCTAACAAGGTAGTTTTATTACCTGATTTCTAGTTATCAGAAAGCAGTGTAGCTGTGTGGACAAAGGGTAGTTATAAGTGTTTAATCCTATTTAACCTCAGCAAAATCAAGTCTGCAAAGCTAAATTAGGATCCGGCTACCAGGTGAACAAAAAGATTTGCAGACTATGAAACTATTAATATTTTCTTATCTCCTTACAAATTAATATTCTGATTAGTGCTATTGAAATCAGTACTATTAAAAGAAATGGAACTACTCAGATTAACATGAATGAATTGACAGAATTAGAGCTACATTTTTAACATGAATGCCTAAAAACTCGTAAGCATACACCCCTTCCTGAAGAAACTGCTGTACCAGGTGGAATGGTACGTCCTGCAGCCTCAGGAGTAGTTCTGGTACCAAGACAAAAGAGGAAAATGGTATTTAATCCTGAAATAGACTAAGAAATTTCATTTAGATTTTTTTTTTTTTTTTTGTGGATAAAAACTTGAACACTGAACAATATTATTTAAGTCAGAAGATTCAGGCTACAACATCTTGGTTAAACCTCTCTGCCTGATGAAGAGCATTCCAATTCTTATCCTGACACTTAGAATTTCTAGAATTTCATTATTCACATCTGTCTTCACATTCAGTTAAAAAAGGCGGCAGTCTTGAACCATTCTAAACATTTCTCATTTTAACTGAAAAATCTGCAATGCCTTAAAAATTAATCTCACTGATACCAAAAATTACTGTTCTCTCGAGCAGTAGCTATCAACTTTGTTTCATGTTTACAAAAGATTATTTAACACATTGATTTCTTCAAATCAACACATCATTTAAACGGAATCACTTTTTTTTTCCTTTATTGGGGTTGTGTGTATCAGAAAACTGTTTGAGCTGGAAGTAATGACCTTCATTTAAGTGCACTGTTTGAGTTTGCTCAATTGAACAAGGCCTGTAAGCATGGATTTTTTTTCTCTTCTGAAAACAATCAATATATGGCAAATAAAAAGGAGAAATACAAAATGTTTGCATATATTGAGGTTGTAAGGAAACACCTTCACTGCAGTGCCTCATGTCACAGCATCTACCTTTTACACATCTGGCTTCCAGAGGAGAAGCTTCAGCTTTGTCCTAGCACCCTATTAATGACCTTGGAACAGCCTCTAATCAAGAGGCCACAGGGGCCACCAAACAGCAAGTGAAGACAGCAGGATATCTGGAAACCAGACCTCTCTTCACGACTTGGATTCTTGCTTGCCGCTTGTGCTCTCGCCACTGTTCCTTGCTTATTGAAATGCTAAATATGTCCCTTCAACATGGTGCTGAAAACTATTTTCTTCTTAAAATAAGGCTTATATACATTTTTTTTCATTGAAAGATGATGAGATGCATGCAGGTTACTTTTGGCCATGCTCCGAGTGGAGAGTAAGCTACCGCCTGAGTAAACAACTAAGCCGTAGCATCAGCAGCTGAAAGGGCAGAGAGGAAAAGCAGAAAGAGCAGACGGTAACGTGTGGTTTAGTCAGCCAGTGCTTATGATTCTAAGTGAGATAGTTTTTGTGGTAGTGTAATAGTTKTTGTGTAGTTTTAAGGTAAGAGGCCGGTTCACTTCAGCGACAGAAGATCGTGCAAATCCTTTCTTCCTTCTTAAGGCTGCGGTGCCTGTGCTAGTAATTCCTATCATCCTCCTCCTGGCACTGGAGCCAGGACAAGGACCTCTGGAGTCCAAATCACAAATAAGCTGGAACTGGAAGTGGATTTGAGTGCAAGTACACATCCCAGAGTTCCCTAATATATGGCACAGCAGGGATGAGYACTTCATGTGACTGGCCTTTTAGGCTTTTAGCCTACTTTTCAGAGAGAAGTGCCTACCTGGGAGCTGGCACTGTCACTACCTGCCTTGAGATTTGTTCTGTGGTGGAAAACAATGTCTCCTACACTGCTGTTCTTAGAGGAATTCAATCTTTCTGCAAATTCAAAAGATAAGACATCAGCTCCTGCAGTACAGGAAGTCCTTGCCAGAGAGAGCACGTGGTGCCTTTGCAGAGATTATCACTGGTGCTTTTAAAAACCAATTCTCCTTTAAAAGGAAATGCTATGTGACAAAACAGATTTTATTTAGATAGAAAGAACCACGGTGGCTGCTCGTGTATGAAGTTACAGAGAGCTTGTTTTATTCTGCTAGTTCAGATCTGCCGTACTATTTTTATCAGGTGGGACAGCAGGTCAAATGTACATTTAGTGCTTCACTTTTAAGATTGCTGAGAAAAATAGTACTAAAGCTGGCATTATTTTATTTCTATGGCTCAGGAACTGCAACTGCACGTGGACCAAATCACAGAAATGGCAGCAGTCATGAGGAAAGCCATTGAAATTGATGAGAGGCACGGCTGTAAAGAGCAGGAGCGTATCGTTCAGCTGGAAGTAAGTAGGACATGGAAAAGGCAGTGGCACAAAGCACGGATTCACCGTCTCACCCCCCACCTTCCCTGAGTATTAAATGCTTAGAAGTGAGTACTGTCATATATTAATGGATAGCATACAAGCTGCTCCCAAAGCAGGGAAGTTTCTTGTCTGCTCTTTGTTTGGGGGGGGGGGGGGGGGGGGGGGGGGGGGGGAGTGGATAGAAACAGTATTTTTCCCTCTTCCCAAAACCTCTGGGCAGGTTACCCCTAAGTGCCTGTGTTTTCAAAAGCTTTAAAGTGCGCTCCAGATTTCTCAAAGATTTCATTCCTCCCCTAGCAAGGGAGCAAGTGTTATCAGAGTGAGGTCTCTCCAGTTACTGTGTCTTTCTGGAGTTACTGTATCACTCACRCTGCTGTTTTGTTGCACTTCCCTTGTTGGGTGCCTTATTACATTGTTTTCCTCACAGGAGCCCCTGTGTCCAAGTTGTACACACCTTGGATACTTCTGCTCCAGAGATTAGTTATTATAGGATTAAGCTTTCTCTTTTTTGAAGTGTCTGAATGAAGGAAAAAGCTAAGAAATTATACAAATTGGTGCTAAGGACTAAGAAGCCAGGATGTAAATTAATATGTCTACATCTTTAGCTTTTAAAACAAGTTTCATAATATTGAAATTTTTAAGTGATTTAACTCAGATATTTAACATTGCAGGGGCAATGCTTTTTGATCAACTGCTAGCAAAGCAGTTCATTATGAGACAATGTGAATACAAAGACTTCTTATAAAATACAGTATTTGAAGTAAATTAAATTTTTTATCTAACTTTTATATAATGAGCTTTTTTTTCTTTTTCCTTGCTTAACACCCATTCAATAGAGCAAGAAAATCAGAAATCTATGCACTTAATTTTAAAAGATAATATAACACCACCTGACTGTAAATCCCATTTTTATTCCCCATACATAGGTATGAAGTRGAGGGAAGGGGAGACTATTCCTATAGTTATTTTAAATGCCTTTTCTTTCTCTGCCTATAGCAAGAAAACAAAGGCTTAAGAGAAATTCTTCAGATAACTAGAGAATCATTCCTGAACCTCAAGAAAGAAGATGCATCAGAGAGCACATCTCTGTCAGGATTAGTAACAAGCAGTGATCTGAGCCTGAGGAAAAGCTAAGGACTATGCACGTCAGGCAGCTTCAATTGCACACTTTACCAATGGAGTATCAGGGGTCACTTGTCAAGCACTTGTTACTGAATAGGGCACCAGCAAGCTGAAGCATCTTAAAAATGAGTTTAGTGCATTTTATTCTATGTGAAATAAATTAAAAATGGTATTCTATAAAGAAACCTTAGCGATAGGTTAATTGCCATAGAACTAACTCCAATAGGAAATGGTTTAATGCACCTACTGAATTGGGAATTATTTTTATATGAAGTCATTTAACTGATAAAGGCCAGGATGTCACATAGTTTATAGAAATGAGTGCTCATACAAACTTTCCCCACAGCTGTGATAAAATAAAGGCAGGTCTTTCTGGCTCGAGCAGTAGCAGTGGGCGAGCCTTGGGCGCTGCCCACGTTACACTTTCCTCCCGTAACGAGGTGTTTGGTTTTGGTTCTTGAATTGGCATTTTGCAACAAACTTGTTTAGGGGAAGGGGTCTGCACTGCAACGTATAGAGCCTGAGGATTTCTGTTTAGGTAGCCACAAGGTATCCTGTACGAATGCAAAGGCAATTTTGAGASGCGTAAGCAATGCTTTTGCCATTACTCAATATGTATTTTTAAAATTTTGAATGGGATTCTGAAGAGTGTATAGATACTTAACTGTATTTTCAAAATATCAGAAGAGCTGCTCCCATTTCTCTTTGTTACTGTATTCTGCAATGCAGCTGGCCCACTGTAATGCTGCCCTAGCTCTTCTCCTCCAGAGAAGACCAAGCTCAGTTCTCGCTAACCACATTAGCCCCCTCAAWTTTCTCTCAGATAGTCTCCCCAAATTTCCTAAGCAGGACTTTGAAATGTTAGTTTCAGTTGGAACCTCCCCAGCATGTAGCAGCAGGAAGGTATTTGGGGGAAGGAAGCAGAAGCTCCAGGGTGATGCTGGCAGCCTGGCCGCCCGCCCCCGGTCCTGCCCATTCGTCTTTCTTAAGTACTGAGTAGTCTTCAAGCCGATTTCTAGGCACATTTCGGGTGCATGTTCTGTTTTCACTGGAAGTTTCTACGTGACAATAGCCCGTCTGTCTTTAATCCTGAAACACCTGCAGGAGGGAGAAGGAGCTGGCACCGCTGCCCGAGTTGTAGCTTGTGTTGGATGCAGGTACTAAGAAGTGCTGTGTGAGGCAGGTCTGCAGTGAAGAGGTGCTGACACGGCTCACGTTTCGCTTTGGTGTGTCAGACTCGTTGTGCCCCTTGCTCGTTCCTAACTAGCACTGCTGTTCCTCACCACCCCTTTCTGTGTCGCGTGTTCCCGTGCTTCCAGCTCGCGCCGTGCGCACACAGCAGCGCAGCGGAAGCTCCCTGCCACACGAAAGGCTTGATGCCCGAGCAACAGCCACGCTTGAATCTTTAGGCTGCTTCGTAACTCACCTAGCAGAACAAGCTGGCCTCTGCAAATAATTTTCATTTAATCAAATTTGATTTTCAGTTGCAGCAAGGCAAAGACAAATTAAGCAAACTATTTTAAAGTGTGTCAGATGTAAATAGAACTTCCTTTTGACTCAGCATAACTTCCCTAGGCTCAAGATAAATACACCGCAAGGTCTAATTTTCAGCTTTCAGTGAGCTGAATTCACAGGGAGCGTAACAGGGTCGTTCTGGTGCTGTGATCTGCACCCATACCCTTTCCTCTAGCGATTTCAGGAGAAACAGGCAAAGGGGAATGTTTAGTAGAGGCAGCAAATGCCAGTTTTTGATCAACTGATGCACGTATCAGGAAACACAGTTGTCATAAGACCTCAGAAAGGAGAGCTATAAATGAAACTCTCCACGTTTCTCTGGCAATTTTTGTACAATTAGAGAGACTGCTACTTCTCCTTCCCCCMAAAAATATTGGCTTGTTTCTAAGTTATAAGAATATGTTGAGGACACTCATGCACATGGAAAACATTTTCACATTTGGGGAAGATTTGAAGGAACATGCAGGCTCCAGCATAAAATCTCCTGGTGCGCTATAACTACGTGTAAAACCCGCCCAGTGCTTCTATCCTTCACATCTTGCGTTTCTGCTGTAGCTTGCAAGCGGTGACTTACGAGAAGGGATTTTTTTTTAAGACATATAAAATTACGGGAAATTTGGGTTAAAATTTAAAGGTGTTTTTTTTAAAGTGTCCTTTCAGCCCTTGTCTGAGGTACCTGTCTCATGTCRAATGCAGTTTCACGGCTGACCTTCTGGTTTGTCTTTCGAACGCAGACTCCGGAGCCCTACAGCAGAGAAGGGGTGTCAGTCTGTGGCAGTTCTTTAAGGTTGCTCTATTACGAAATAATGCTTGATTAGTGTTTATTTTTGTAAGTTAAGAAATGTGACTTAATTTATCTAMTACTCTTCACACATTTGATACGTCTCCCCCTTGGTTCCCCTGGCCCTGATGGCTTTAGGATTTTAAAGAACCTTCACGGTGTGTGGAGTGACTATTTTTCATTGCATACCTGTTATTTTTGTAATGCTGATGGCTTGAAAAGAATCTATGGTTACAATTGTGTACTGTACAGTAAAGYTATTTTATCAATAAAGTCAACTGAAAGATTGCCTGGCTCCATGGCTGAAGGAGGATGGGGTTGGAAATGGGCCTGTTATTAACATAYAGGGAAATAAAGACTCCTTTTCGTCCCTGCCTTTCCCTTGGCTTCTCCTTACACTTCAGGGCAGATGGGACATGTTGCTGTAGATGAAAAAGAGAAAAAAAAATGCACTTTTATGGAGAGCTAAAAAAAAAAAAAAAAAAAAAAANAAAAAAAAAAAAAAAGAGGGAGAATCTAGAAGAATCTTGAAGAACCTTAAACTGCTCAAAATGACAAAAGAGGGAAATGCTTCCTAGTTCCAGTCCTCAAAAAAACCACATTCCTCAGCCTAAGGTGGAGAATGTGGAGGGAAAGGAGCAGAACTACCATTGCCAGCAATTGCTAGTTGATAGTTTCACRCAGTTATGGCCTGGCCTGAACGCCTTGAAGGCAGGGAAACGAAGCAGCCCTGGGTAAGAGTCACCAAGCCGCAACAGCAAAACCACAAGGAGGTGTCAGACACCTAGCAGSGTATCTCACAGGGTAGCTCGGCCTGTTTTAAGAACAAACTGCCAGGAGTCGACACAAGGGAAAGCAAGGCGAGGGATGAGGAGGGAAGAAACCCCCTCCTGCTCCGTGTGTTTGAGGCAGGGCTACAGGGAACTGAGGCGCAGAGAAGCTGTAGATGCAACCAAGACAGATGCCCTATGATCATTCCAGCTGTTAGCACAGCGCAGAGAAGACCACAAAACACTTGGAAAAGGAACACCCTAGAGCAGGCCTGGAGCTGCCGAGCAGCAGGAGGCAGCTCATCGCTGCCCAGAGGGCCTCGGCTCACGCACCTTTGAAAATGCTTCATTTTCATCAGACTAAGGCTCCTGGGAAGCAGCCAGCCTTCCTCTAGGATGGCACCAGAGCACCTTAATGGAGGCGGCAGCAGCTTCCTTCGGGAGATGGCAGAAGTGGCAGGGAAGGGCAGGGAGGCRCAGGCTGAAACCCCTGCCCCGCCAGGAAGAGGCTCCCTCTGCAGCCCGTCTCCCGCTGTGGGACCTGCGGCTGTGCCCGTAACTTCAGTGAGCCCTTACAGGAGGAAGGCCAAGCTCCCCCTGCCTCCTCCCTCGAGGCTCTCCCGTATTTTCCACACCAGGAGCCTGCTTCAGCCYTTCGGACTGTAAGCACCACTGAAGTCGGCGCAGAGCGGCAGCGCTCTTTCCAAAAGACATCTTTATTATAAAAGTTATAGAAAATATTAGAGTTAARCTTCTTTCACACTGTTAATCACAGCAGTTATACAGACCCCCCCCTTCTCCCCCTTTCCCAAAGTAAACATGTTTAAGAACATCTGTATGCGAAACAAGTGTTTGCTGCTCAGCCACCAGACCCGGCAACAAGGCGCTCGGCCTCAGTGCAGGGGAGGCAGCCGGGCTGCTGGAGGCCGGGCAGGGAGGGAGGCCCCCGCAGCCGCCCCCGTTTGTGCAGCGCAGTGGGATCGACCCGTGGACGGCAGCCCCAGAGCTTCATTTTCACACCACTCAGATGTTTGAGCCTTGAATTAAGCAGATCCTCAGGAAAAGCTGCTTTGGCACTTTCCATGTGGAATTTGTTACGGCTCCTGTACTTTATGCCAAGCATTTACACCGGCAGCGGAGAGCCCAAGGCTGCTTAGGGAATTTGCTAGCTCTGAACTGGCTCACGGCAGAACAGCCACGCAGTGCCAGGTAGGAAGGGCTACCCACGTTGCTCCCACGGTCACAATACAATGACTGGGAGACAAGGTGGAAGGAGCCACCAGAGCCTGTWACAGACGTAGGACATGACACTGCAGCCAAGGCGTAACGTGTGACACAGCGTGGACATGAACCACTGAAGGTGAACACCAGACTTGGGAAGACAGGAGGAGGAAAAGGGAGGTGAAGGAAACCTGGGGACTGGTTGTGCAGGTAAGTGAGCAAAACCCACACTGCTCCTGGTTGCAGTTTGAGAAAGGCTTTTGTTTGGTTTGGTTTTCAGGAGGTGAATAAAGYCACCACACAAGACAGTAGTTCCTCACAGAGCACAAGGGTGCTCCCCTATCTCCTGTCACATCCGGGCAAATTCAGTCCAAAGCAGAAAGGAATGCACTCAGTCAGCAAGCTCCTGCCTCAGAGACAAGAATTAGAAGAGTCATTGGTTTAAAAGAAAGAAAATAGCTAGTGTTTCAACCCAATTCAGGAAGAGATCGCCACTGGCTACAAAGTGCTTCTTGCAGTTATACTTGATGGCAGCAGCCATACAGGGCCAACAGGGGAGAGAGGAGAGACTTGGAAGCAGCCCCAGGCTTCTCGGAAAGCGAGCAAGAAGGCGAGCCCAGCTGTGGGCTGTTAGCACTTGTTTCCCTACGGAGCCTGGAGAGGCAGCTTGCTGCAGAGCCAACTGCAAACGAGGCCGAAGGTCCCATCTCAGATCACGTCTGCTTTGAGTCCCAGTGCACATACACACAACAGTTAATCCAGTGCAGGTTCAACTCCAGTCACTTAGTGCAGCTTGCAAGGTTCAGGAATACTTCTTGGAAAAAGAGAGAGTCTGCAGCCAACTGTTTTGTACCTCTTTGAAAATATTACTTCAGCTRCTGCTAAAAACTCCTCTTGTTTGTGGTCCTTCTCTTCTTCTCTTGCAAGCCGACACGCTGCTCACCTTGGGGAGCGTCACGTAGCAGCTTGGCAGTGATTCTCACACTGCAAGGGAAGAACAGTCTCCATACAGGTTACCTTAAGTGCAGTTTTGGATTTTGCTTACCTAAACACCAAGCTAGACCCCAGGATAGAGCCCTGCTCTCCAGCCAGGGCCCCAGCTCTGCGCAGTGAGACGCACGTGCGCTGCAGCAGGCCCAGCGGGCCTCCCGCCACGCAGACAAGCCCCCCGGGGCAGCAGGTAGTGTATGCAGAGGTCAGTGCTTCGCTCCAAGGCGGGCAGCCACCCCGCTCCCATCAAGCAGGGTGCCACAAGCCAACGATCCCCCGTCCCACGCCAGGTCTGGGCTCTTCTTCTGCGCCCACCAGTTCTGCGGCCGCTCACAGGAGCAAGGGAGTTCTTTCCCCAGCCGGCTGCTCCTTCTGAAAGACCTCCCTGATCTGCAGGAGCTTGCTGTGGATGCGCTCGCGCAGCGGAGGCCGATGGTGGCTGGGGTCCAGGACGTTGGTGCTCCTGCGCTCCCTCTCGCGCTTCCAGAGGAGGTAGGGCGGCGGCGGGAAGGGCACCTCGCTCCTCTCCCGGCGAAGCTGCACCGTCACTCCCGTGAGGGCCAGCATGGCCCACACCGCCAGCACAATGAAGTCTGCAGGGAGAGGAAAAGCACACGTCAATTCCCGTGGCAAAACAGAGCTTTCCCGCCCTTCCCAAGCACCATGCTGCCACATTTGGGGACAGGCAGGCAGGTAGTATTGTCTCCGCATCCTCTCTTCCAAGAGTGTCTCTGGACAAGCACAAGAGGTGACAATCCACATGGAGCTGGTGCAACATGTTGGCTGCAGGTTTAGGTCTGGTGACCGTCCACTCTGCAGAGGCATCAGCCACAATGCGGGGGTGGCAGTGCTGCACTGGGTGCTGGGGGCCTCGTGTCTGCACACGCTGACTCAGTATTTCTCTGGAAGGACTAGGGTTTCTGATTTGGATGTTCAGCCTCCCACCACACCTGCTATTTCCTCCACTCATTCGCTCCTGCTTGCCAGCACGGACTGTTCACAACAGCAGCAGGGACACAGGTTTTCTCAGAGAAGTGCTGTATACCCCAGTGCTTGTACTAGCAGTAACAAGGCCATATTCACCCTCCAAGACGCTTCCTACTGAAACATTTTAGAGCGCTAAGCAGGACAGTTCCTTCCCAGATCCGGCTTTGTTTATGGTACAAAGTTTGGGGAGGAATGGAGCCTCAAACGTTAGCAGCCTGCAGCCTGCCCCACTTGGTCTTTAAGGAAGGGGGCCTGAGGAGCAGCCCTCACCGTTCGTTTGAAAAGGCACGTGGGTGTAAGCTCTGTTGAAGGAGTCGTTGAGGATCCTCCTGAGCAGCTCTAAGGTGACATAGGCGAGACTTGTGAAGACATAACAGGCAACGGCCAAGACCACCGAGTACGAGCCAACTACTCCGCAGGCCAGGATGTTCAGCTGGAGAAGGAGAGGGAAGGGAGAAAAACAAAAGCAAAGAAAACACACAGCTTCAGGAGACTCACAAAGATTCCCCATTCCCTCAGAGCAGTGGTTTTTATTGGTTCAACACTCAAGTTAGCAGCAAGATCTGYGGGAACCAAGCAGCTGCTTGCCCCAGTTACCCAGATACCCAGGAAGGGCCCACTGAGAAGGGCTGTCTTTAACCCACATGCAGCATCAAACCAAAATCATCCCGTTGCCTGTGGCTCTGTCAACACAAGCGGGACTGAGCAGGAACCCTAGAGCCAGTCCTGAGCTACGCAAGGCCATGTTAAGTCTTCTGCACATATCCCACAGATCCATGTTTTGGGAGAAGTTATCGGACAGCCCTTCCTCCCTTGTCCCGAGGTAGTCATGCAGATTACTTACAGTTCTTGGGCAGCCAAAAAACAGCACTGGAATCATCAAGGCCACGCAGGAAAAGGTCACCCAGAACACAACATCATCACGGAACACTTTGTAATCTCCTGCAAAGATACCACATTCCACAGCTGAAGTAGTTTCTTTTAACTAGTGCTAACAAAGCATGCTTATCCCTTTTCTGTTTGATTAAAAAGTGATTGGAAGTGAATTCCTCCCCAAACACATTCAGAAAGTACATGGAAAACAGCTTCTGAGCCCAAYAGCCTATTTAAAGCACATTTTAGTAGTGTTACCCTTTACAAGGACAGAAAACAAGAAAAATCTAGTTCAGAACAGTCTACTACCCTAAAGAGGGGCATCAGACCACTCTGAAGCATTTGCTCCTCATCTGATAGAGCATCTGAGTGCTTCTATACAGTGAGGGGCCACTTATTACCTGTATAAGTCTATAATCTACAAGCCTACATCTAGGCAGGTTTGGCTCTAGTGTCTGATGCAAGAAGTGCAGCCCATACACACAACACAGGGCAACCAACTTTGTCCTTTTGAAACAGTAACTAAGTCACCAGAGTAAACAGGGTTTTCCTCTCCCTTATTTCTAAGGCCTGCCAGTTAAACACAGGGGACACATTAACCCCAAGATGACCCATTGCTTTCCCACCATGAAGAGCAACCAGGGATTGCATGGACTATCACAGAACCTGGGCTCAAATGCAGGTAGTGCGAGAACAAAAAGTGGCCCCAGCAGGTGACTGTTGGCAAGACTGAAAGAGGTGCAATTTGAGAGGTAAAGTTGGAGCAGAGGAAGGAGTGTGGCAAGTGCCTGAGATCGCTGAGCACTTGCAGCTCTGCAGCCAGGCTCGTTTTTAGTGGATTTGCTTTCTATTGCTCCTCTCCAAGTCATTCTGAAGACCCTGATGGCACCAATTCAGGTGCAAGGCTGTAGCATGCAGCAAGTCAACAGCAAGAACTGGTGATCCACTRTGCCTTCACACTTGTGATGCCTCTCAGGTAAACTGTAGGCTCTACTGCAACTTGTTTAGGATTGGAGAGAACAAGACAGACAGCAAACGTGTGCCTGAGGCACAGCTGCTGTCACAGACTGCTCACACAGCAAGCAGCTTGGGTGGGGAGAGCCCCTGTGAGTCATCTGCACAAGTGGTTTCCTTCACCCACTGGTGGAGSTTCTCCAGGTAATTCAAGTGCAGCACACCTGGAGGCAGGCTTCAGGGACAGCTCTCTCATGCCAGCACTGGCAGGCACTGGAAAGCTCCCAGCATATGAAGACAAGCCAGGCTGCAGCATTCRCCTTGTAGCTTTGCAGCGTCCCAGACAGATCTCAGAAGCTACACCCAAGCACTTGATCCTGTAATACAGCAGTAAAGCATCTAGGTGGCTAGCACCCTGCAACAGAGCCTTCCAGTACATACCTAGCGGGGTGAAGAAGACRGCTGAGGAGAAGAGAAATCCCAGCACAAGTCCAATAATCAGCATACAAAGGAGGACCGAGCCAAATCTCCACCAGGCAGCAACCAGGAGAAGCCCTCCAATAATTCCCGCCACTGCGGTCAAAATAAGACGCACTGAAAAAGAGGAGCAGAAATAGCAAGCTAAGAACTGTGGCAACACTCTGGAAGCCTCAGTTACTGCAGCAGTGAATAGAACAGCTTTACTTGCATGCTGGATTTCTTACTGGTAGTCYCCCACAAGCGTATCAGTATTCACAGTAACAGCTATCACACAAGTGTCCTTCACACATGTCACTTGAAGCCTCCAGCCATCATGAAAGAGCAGCATAGATTTGCAATCAAAGTGTACAAATATCTGAGTGGAGAAGGTAAAGAGGATGGGACCAGACTCTTCTCAGTGGTGGCCAGTGATGGGACAAGGAGCAATGGGTACAAGTTGAAACACAAGAAGTTCCATCTCCATGTGAGGAAGAGCTGCTTTCCTGTGMGGGTGCCAGAGCCCTGGCACAGGCTGCCCAGGGAGGCTGTGGAGTCTCCTTCTCTGGAGATCTTCCARACCCGCCTGGATGCCGCCCTGTGCCCCGTGCTCTGGGTGTCCCTGCTGGAGCAGGGGGGTTGGACTGGATGATCCCTAGGGGGGTGTCCCTTCCACCCTCAACCAGTCTGTGTCTCTGTGAAAGTGCTGCTACTCTTCTCAGTAGTCCCTTGGGTTCCCAGGGCAGTTGGGTGTCAGATAACACACATTATCTGGAGGTAGGATCTATGAATAGACAAAAGCACCATCCTAACATACAGGGTGCAGACTGTTTGTGCTGTCAGTTTACAGAGCAAAAACTGCATTTGAACCAGAATCACTCGCCTCCCCCCATCATGAMACAAGTGGGAAATAAATAGCAAGCTGCAAGTCACCAGCTACCCTCGTTGATGATCTTTGAACATAGATGAATTCAAGTGTCTTGCACAGCTGCAATTATTACTTCTGCATCACAGCCATGTGAAGCGGGAAACAGCACTTATTCTGTGTGTGTTAGTGCTGCTGGGGTTATCAGAGCTCAGCTCAGTCACCTGTTTACCCCACTCCCACTCTTCGGGCTAGCCAGCCACAAGCGCAATCAGCATTTTAAGGCCATAACACCTGTTTCGTTTGGGAACAGGATTGCGTATCACACATGTACTCACCATCGTAATCAAGGCCAGTTACCCTAGTAATGAATACAAAGAAGAAGAATCCTGTGAATATGAAGCCCATGAAGAATAAGTCTAGAGAAACAGAGGGAAAAACATTTAGTGTTGTCATATCACTTCATCCCAGCCTTCTTTACATCCTCAGACACCTCCGCTTGACTGCGGCGAGCAGAAAGCCTCAGCTCATGGGCCAAGAGACAAAAAAGGAGAATCAGACAATGGTGTCTGGTTCAGGAAAATGCTCTTGGGTACTTCAAAAAAACAGAAGTGAGGCATCTGCATCTACACCTGCCATCATGCACGCCTAGTTACTCTCTGCTGTTCTCCGAATACCAGAAGCTTCTTGCCCTGCACACAAAAGTTCTGATCCCACCAAAGCAAAGCAGCAGACAGAGCTGACAATCACTACTAGGTGATTCTTAAGCGTAACACTGCAGTTCTATGTTACATCAAGGAACAACCGTAAAATTCCAACCACATTTAGGATGAGAGGGGAAAACCATTTAGTACCTGTTTTCCAGAATCTGTGTCCAAAAAAGCAAGTGAAGAGACCAAGAACAGCAAGAGCAGTGAAGAATATTTTGGTAGAGAGTTTGCCTACAAGGAAAAAGAAAAAATGGTAGCTAGAATAGCTGAAAATTCTGTGCTTAGCTTTAAAACTGGGCAACTCGACCATCTATGGGGAATGGTGCTGAAGGACAAGTGACTGAGGGAGCAAGTGGAGTTTTTGTCACTGCAGCCTTTACCATAGCACCCCTTTAATACACTTTTTCATACAACAAAAAGGACTGTCAGCCTCCCGATTTCGTTCAGCCTTGTCTTTTAAGCGAAATTCTTACTAGCATTTAAACCACTTGAGACAAATGATCTTTGAAGTCTCTCCTGTCTAATTCAGAGCATTTTTGCCTGGATAATTTGCCTGTAAGAGGACATCGAATTTGACAATAGTTACTTATATTATGACACACAGGAAAATAAAACAGGACGAATCTTGCTTTACTCTTCATCCCCTCTTATTCTTCCATTATAGTTATCTTTATACAGTGAGAAAACTGAACCCAAAGCTGTGTATTGGCCTTTGCTTCAAAACATTTGCTGGTTATTCCTAGCACCAGCATAAATACTGGGTTCCTAATCCAGTCCATGTCCACAGCATCTACAGTAATAGAGGTGACAAGATTATACATTTAAAGGGAGAAGGCCAGTGTGGCACAGCACAATGGGAAGTTTGTATTTGCAAACCCCTATTAAAGGCTCTGCTTAGTTTAATACACAATTACTAACAGCTCCTCTCCGTCTTAAATGATCAGTCTAGAAATTCTTCTCAATCAAGACACAAAATACAAAACAAACAGCTCCCTAACACTTGCAARTCTCCAGCATCAGAGATCATGAAGCTTCTGAGACTTGCTGGCAAGGATGTACAAGGCCCAACTTACTGACAGAGGAGCAGTTATCCACCAGGTCAGCAAAGCTGCAGGCATATGTATGCACAGGCACGTATGCAGCAGACGTATTCCACAGGGGATCCCACACTATGACGTTGTAGATGACACCTTGCCCAGGCAGCGAGGAGAAGTAGACATTGGTCTTGTCATCCGTTGTCAGGGAAAGCACCTGGGACAGTCAAGAGTGTTAATTGCAAGGGCTGCTCTTTTATTACTCACGGCACAGTCATGGATAAACGCAGCAGCTGAGGCAGTGCTGATAAACTCAGCAGCACAGGGGAAGAGGCCAGCAAAAAGTGAGACCTCTCCTGTTCTGAGCTCTCTCAATATTACCAGTCCAAGCATTACAGGCCCACAGGATGGATACCACTTCCTTCCCCCACACCACACGTTTGACAGGGGATAAAATTCTCCAGCCTCCCTGTGTTTGCTTCTCTGTTTGAGGGCAAAGTCTAAYTTCCCCATCAGGCTACTTGCACAGCTGGAGCCTCTGACACAGGCTTTTCTTGTGCTACCCTCTAGCAAGGCTGGGCTGGTCACAGCTGCTGACATTCTCCCCGACCCCTCCTGGGTCACCTTTCTGGGCAGCTACTCTCACRTAGTGAGAGCAAACACCCACTGTCAGATCTTTTCATGCCTCTCCAAACTGGACCCTGTTTCTAGCTCAGGTGCACGACACTTTCCTACCTCCTGTTCCTTGCATTCCCTGCCCAGTCTGCAGCACCTGCCAGACACTGTAGGACCCTGTGCCATCCTTTTCAAAAGTGCCTCTTCCCACAAAGTTGCCACACGAGTGGGTTAGGCCAACTGGCCAGCTCTATCCCTCCATCAGTGGTTGCTGTACTGTATTTTGTGTGCTTCCTAGACCTTAATCTCACCAAAAAAAAGSGAAGCATCAGCAACTTGCCTTTGTCACCACTCAAAGAAATTAAGTCACAAGGCAAGTGAAAAGTCAATCCAACGCTCTGGTCAAATGCCTGGTGTACTGGTGCTTCAGACTTACTTTAATGCCATTAGCTTTGATGCTGTCAACCTCAGCCATCTTCCGGATGTGGTTCATGAGCACCATCTCGGAAAGATCGTTTTCCGGCAGAAAGTACTGGTAGACGTCGTAACGCAGCCGCCACCTGGAGTTCTGGCCGGTCCCCGAGTCACACGATGGTGCGTTTGCTCCTCTGTAATTAGAGAGACCAGCTACATCCCCAGCATAAGTCCTCAGGTATTAACATTAAAGTTCAGAAGTTTCCTGTCTGAGCTGGCAACATCTGGCTTCTACCCTGCAGTTTTGAATCACTTGCTGGTACAGACTTCCAGGCTGGCCATGGACTCAGGCTACAGTAGCACTGCAGAAACCTGATGCAGGTAGAGGCAAAGGCCAGAGCAGGCTCTCTGTGTTCTCAGAAGCTTCCCATAAACTGTCAGAAGGGACTGGCACACAAATTCCAAGAGGCCACAACAGCCAGAGTATTACAGCTCTGGTGTTTATTTTTCCTGTATATACAGTTTATAAATAGCTCTGTCAAGATACTTGAACATAGTGGGTAGGGAACAGAGAAGGCCATCTAGGAGATCCTACACTACCCAGGAGATAACAGATTACAATTACTGAAATGTTAATGCTTGGCAACATCTCAGGTTATCAACATGGTTTCATAGTAAAAGTGATGAAACAGGCTAYAAAGCACAATTTTTCCCTAAAATGGAATAAGCCACGACAAGAAACAGGAAAATCTAGCGTTTGTTGACTGCTTGCACAGCTGAAGTTCTAAGCTGTATAACATCTGCCACCAGCTTCAGCTTTCAACTCTTCCTTTTTGTTACCCCTCTCCTCCTTCAGCTTTTAGCTTGCTTGTTGCAGCAAGCAAGATTTCTGCCAGGGACTGGATGCACAGCCTTTCCAGCAGAATCTTGTTTTACGGCCCTGACCAAGCACAGAATTAGAAAGGTCTGACCAGCAGCATAGCAAAGTTTCCACACACCTGGCATATCCCAAGTTTGCAGGTGCAAACTTGATGTGTACATCAACCAAGGTATAGTCTAGGTAGATATTGGGATCCACTTCCAAGTCGAATTCTAGATTGCAGCCTCCAGGAACAGGATCTGAAATACAGGTCATTAACCACAGCAGCTCTCCCTCTACACAGAATGAAAAGTTTTAGTAAGATTCCCAAAACAGGTACTTGTAGGCACAGTCTATTCACTGAGCATCTAGAAACATTGTGTTTCAGCCCTACACACAAGTAGTTTCACTACAATCACCAATACAGGCCCCGTTATAGATGCAGAGCAGTTTGCAGCTCTAAGGCTGAAACCATGACACCACCATACAATAGATCTGATACACATGGCTTTTCAATTGAATATTGATCCCAAGATTYGACAGTCCATTTCAAGGGAATTTCTGACACCTCCATTTGACATTTTCACCCTTTAGGACCATCACCTCCAGCAGATCAGTTCTCATGGCTAACTTGTAATAAACAGCTACTTTCCCTTAACAAGTAGTAAGAACATACCTTTCTCCAGATAGGGAATGGAGATAGCAGTGCTTAACACGTGGTTAGTGTCCAGAGAGTGAAGGTACCACGTACACACAGTCTGCTGAGGCCGAAGAATGGAAACCAATCCTTTGTCTACTCCAGTTCCCGAGGTGTTTGCAGAGGGATTCTGCACAGAAGCAGATCAGGTACATTTCAGCACAGCCTGACCCATCACACAGGAATCCCCCTCCTGAGGTCACAAGACTTCAGGGCACACATTTTAGTACCAGCTTGGCCTTTACCTCACTGGTAGCTTAGAGCTAGGAGAGGAGGAGAAAAAAAAGAGGGGGGGGGAGGGTAAGGAAGCACTGTAGCACACACTCAAATCTGGTTTTCAGCATGGAATACATGTTGTTTTCCAAGCAGACCACAATGTTATCYGAAGCAACTCCATAGGGAGCTGCTGGCAGGATTTAAGGCCTGGCTAGCTCCACACTTCCAGAGGCAGGCCAGCCCCGGTGGGAAGCATACAGACATTTAGAGGGCACCATTCCAGTCATGGTCAACCCTGCAGATACAGACAGTGCCCAAATCCACAACAGAAACAATCCCACCACAGATAATCAAGAGCTCATTAGATCTAGCAGYGGCCCTGGAGGCCTCTAAGCCTGGCTATTTCAACAGTGCAAAAGGGTTGAGGGGGGGCAACTTGTAGGGCAGGTTACTCATCTCAGCCTCTCAGCTAGTCACTGSAGCCAACATGTTAACAGGGATATACGACCAATTTCTCTCCCCCATACGGCACCTTACACCTAGTCTGCACACTGTGCAAACACTGCTTAGGCCCCCACAGCAGCAGGAAGTCAGTACTTCAGATTGTATCTCAGTTATCATAGGATAACCTGAACCTAACGCCTACAGAAATGCCGATGCTGTTAGCCAGAAGTAGCAGCCTCCACTGAGAAGGATTTCCTCTGTATGAGAAAGGAGCGGGGTAACAAAACGCTATCTGTAGCGCAGAGTGATCGTATTTAGCAAAACAACTGTCAAATGCTTGCCAGGAATCTGCTAAATAAAACCAGATGAGCATCAGCCAGCAGTCACATGTCAAAAGCACCACTCCCATCATGAATGAAGAGCCCAGAAACACTTTCAATCCAGCTCTGAGAATTTTTTAAAGTATTCTCACTTCCAAAACAGCAGCAACAATGTACAAGCATGAGAAACATGATATTATTCTACCTTCAAAAATCCAGAAAAAGCACACAGCAAATATGCACTTTATGCTTATTCAACTTCACTTCTACCTACATCGAGGTGGCAGAGCCAGCTGCTGCTTCCCACATGGGGGTAGAGGGGAGGTAACAGTTAAGGGCAGAACTGGCACRCTTCCCATACCTTATCGAAGGATATCACCACGTTGTTTTGCTGGGCATGTACTTGGAAAATGACAACAGTCACATTGCTTGCAATATTCCTGATTACAGCCTCCACTGAAGTGGTCTGGTTAAGCAGTACATTTCTGAATTTTCCCAAGGAGAGCTCAAGAAGACCTGCAGCAAGAAAAATAAGAGAACCACGTTTTTGTTTYGTTTTGTTCAAAGCTGGTGGCAAGATGAACCTGGAAGCTTCAGGGAACCTGATAATTAATCATCTGGGAACAGAGCAAGATGTCTTGTGCTATTCTCACCCTGTAAGGTCTATTTGGGCTTCAGAGACTGCTACACATGGCTGTTGTGCTGGGCACAACGGGTTAAGCAAGAGATTCCTCCATGCAACCCAACAAGCACCTAAGCACAACAGGCAGGACACAGGTGGCTCTGCATGTGGGACACCTGAACTGCATTAGCAGCAGACACCAGCTGCAGCTGAACAGCTCGTGCAATCAAAACCAAGGGATACCGGGTACACATTCAGTGAGAGAGGGGATGCTGAGGGCTGTTTGCTCCTGTGCTGCTACAGGAGAGCACCCTCACCTGAGCCAGCCAGCTTGCACAACCCTCCTCCTGTGCTCCTGGGGGGAATTCCCAGCTCCACAGGCGCTTCCRTGGCACTGAGTCAAACTCAGTGCAGTTTGCAAGACATGCAGTTTTCATCTCTCCCTTATTCCCACACAGTTCCTGATTATTTAGCACGCCAGGACTTTGATTTCTAGGTTTAATAAACCTCTGCCTACTTTGTTTCAAAATACACAGCCCATTTCTTCTATGGATAATCATAACCCCATCACCCTCGGACATTTTAAAGAGCCACATGACTCTCTTTAGGAGAGCCAGCTTGTTGTTCGAGTCCTGCAAGAAAGCCTGCTCCAGCAGAAGGGGAGGAACAGGCAGCACCCTCCACTGCTGCTTAGGCTTCAGGAGCTCTCCTTCCCAAGAAGGAAAGGGATGCAGTTCTCCCATCCCAAGCTCCATGCCCAGAGGACACTCTGTACTCCATCCCTGTTACTCGTCCCTATCTTCCCAAGAATCAAGCATCTTTGGCAGCTTCTTCGGCCTCAAGTCTTAAACAGAGGCGAACCCCTACCCCTGGCTCCTCCACTCTTCTCATAGCAGAGGAAGAGAGGCAGAAAAGTTTAGCTCACGTAACCTTGTTATACACTCGCTCAAGAGACCAAGGCAGTGAGCAGTTTGGTTCCTGGTTCTGGGCAGAGGCCCAAGAAGTTTGATAGGCATTGACAACGCATCACCAATAAAACCCTAGCTAAAGTATGGGAAGTATCCCCAACCACCTAGGAGAAAAAAGAGGAATCTCCATTTTTCAATTTTTCTTAAGAAGTTTCTACTTCTAGTTTCCAGATAGGCAAGATGACTATTAATGCAAGATTAGAGATAAATTAAAAAAACAAAAAAACAACAACAAAAAAAAAACCTCTGGATGTTTTCCAGATCTTCATAGGGTCCCTTGAACAGCATTCAGATGCCCTCCACTTTAAAATGCCTCTCCTCCTAAGGTCTTGTTCTTATGCAAGTCCTACCAGATCTGCAACTTCAAAGTATGCAACCCCCGCACACACACACACACAGACACTATAAGCCTATGCATCCAGAGTGCTGCAGTAAAAACTAGAACACTGAAACAAAAGCAACATTTTTTTCTGACCTTTAAAAACTTCAGCACAGATCCTGAACTACAAAATACATATTCATCTATGTGAAAAAAAAGGCAAAAACAAATAACTGAAMCATACACTTCTGCGTGCTCCACAGGACGGAGGGACAAGCAGTGGAGTTTTCCCTCTGCATAAGTAGAGGGCAGATTCTGCAGTAAGACACGCAGCTGCTGCTGAAGCACGATCATGAGACCAAGTGCCACAGGCTCTCTCAGGCTTAATTACTGTGTGGTAAATTAGAGCATGGTGCTCTAGATTGCTTTAGCACTTGCRTAAATACTCCTAAAACAGTGCATGTGATGCATTTCAAACCAAAAATTTGAACTGAAGAATAAAAGCAGGGTGTAAGCCAGTACACAAAACAACCTGCACCCATTAGATGGGTGTTTTTCAGCTTGTGGTTTACATGCCCAGGAGCACCTCCTTTACCTGGCTTGCAGGGCAACTAGGAGTCCATACGCTCTGCACAGCGCGCAGAGCCCTCGAAGACACTTGCAGAAAGACCAGCTGCTACCTGGCCACAGGTGCTACCTGGCCACAGACTGCAGCTCCCAGAAAACCTTCTTGCCTTTCCCATTCCCATTATCAGAGCTAGAGCCATCTAGCTCTGTGYTGAGCAGGAGCATAGGTATTTCACTCTAACACTGATGAGCAGAGGCAGGCAAAAATTCATTGTATCTCTTTTCCCACAAGGGTAAGACCCAAAGCAGTGAAGATGACGGAATGCAACCTCTTGCAAAGCCCTGCAGCCCATACTCCTAACTAAGAAAGGACGCTTTACATGCGTTAGCCCTTCCCTGCAACACGGGGCTTCCCCAAGGAGCAATAACCAGCTCGAACCGTTTCCATTCCGCTGAGTCAGCGCCACGTTCTCCGCTCATTTAACAGCTGAGCGAAACGCCTCTCCGGAAGCCAAGTGGTGCCCCCATCTCCAAGCAGCAGGTAACCACCACGCGAGGTCCTGATCAACACCCAAGGGCCCCGTTCCCATTAGGAAACATGTCTGCAGCTTGCCAAGGCTGCACACACCGAAAGCCCACGCTTATCGCAGTGCCCACGCGCTTGCCTTGCGCGAGCGAGCGCTCGACAGCCACAGGGAGCACTTCTACCTCACACCACGCTTCAAGGCAGCCTGGGGTTTAAGAGGCGAGAAGCCCGCAAAGCAGAGGGTGCCGATTAACACACAAAGGTGCCTCATGGGGAGGAAATGCAAGCTCAGCAGAGTGAAAACAGGCTGAGCAGGGACRACACGAATATAGACTTATTTGTGAAAGAGAACACATGAGCTTTAGTGTATCAGGCGGATGCAGCCACACACGGGGCATGCATACTCCTGCCAAGGCCGCCRTCTTCGTACGTTAGCACAACTCCAAACACAGATCTGCTGAAAGAGTAGAGAGATTTAGGAATGCATTCAACATTCAATTTCATATCCTTACTACAACCTGTATTCACAGCATTATCTGATGATAACTGGCAACAGTGGCACAGGTCATGGTTGTAACGGACCAGACAATTCCCATTCCAGAAAGAGAGCTTTCTAGTAGGCTGCAGAAGTTRTTGGGTCTTTCATCCTCTGGAGAAAGGCGATAAGAAGCTCCTAGGTCACCTGCRTAAAGACTTGTTAATCCACTGTGGTTTGCCAGCTGGTACAGGCACGACAGGCCCCATTCACTTGCAGACACTGCTGAGGAAGGCGCCATTTGCACATCTGGGTAATAATGTCCCTATTTTGGTACACCAGGAGGTACAAGGGAAACAGACACCATTCATTTGGCTTTAATTTTCCATGATTATTACCCTGGTCAAATCTTGGATGTAGAGAGTGATCTTGATTCAGGCAAAAAAAAAAAAAAAAAAATGAAGAGGACACTGCTGGATCCTGGCTACACTATCAGATGGTTTAGTTTTTCTATCATTAAGTATCTGTTTTAGAAACAAATGAGGACATAGTAAGAAAGGCCGGTCTTTCCTTGAGCTCCCTGGGAGGCAGCAGACAAAATGCATCAACCTAGCACTTTCATTTGGATAATTTCAAATACATGAACATTAAATAATTGCCCTTCTTTAGGGAGCCTAGCAAGCAACGGGATATTTATAGGTAAATTAGGCAGCTTATTAGCTTTTAGTGGAGAAAACACTTCTTCCTTGCCACCCTCAGTTCTGTAAAGGCGCATCACCCATAGTATCCTTCAAAGCAAAGAGCCTATGGGAAACAGGGAATGCTTAGCTGTCCCCTGAGATTTGGGGCACTAAACTCAGGAAAAGTGGGAAATACCCAAATCCGAGATGCAAATACTGTCCTGGAGCCTTTACTAAGCATCTCGAGGGGAGATTTCTCTTTTTGGAGAATTAAGCTTTATCAAAGGCAAGTTGAAAATAAAAATAGAAAAAAAAAGAAGCTAAAAGGAAGAAGCTTGCATCAACCTTAACCTAAGTGATTACTTAGAAAGGAAACTGGGTCCTTTCCTTTATATGAACAGGAAAAGGAGATGAGGGTTTAATCAGCAGCGGAGGGGAAAGCAGTGGTTAGATGTGCACAGGCAGTAGCTACTGCAGGTCACCAGGCTCTGCGAGCTTATTTTGGGTTGCACAGAGAAGCACAGGSGACCCGCAGGAAAAACCACGCCGGGCAGATCCCTCCTAGGGCAGCGCGGCCGGCCAGCAATCCAAGGAGGCAGCTCTGGGAGCCCGGGATTTTGCTCCGAGGCTTAAGGCAGAGGGGTGCTCAGCTAGGCCGAGGCCCTGTGCCGGGCGCTCCAGGGGCGGCGGAGCCTCCACGCTGCCCTTCCCGCGGCGCCGCGCCCGAGCCCGCCGCTCACGGGCACACGCGGCAGCCCCCGCCGCAAACGGGCCCGGCGGCGGGACCCGCTCGGGGGTTACAGCCCCGGCACAGGTTCCCGCCGGGATTCGGGACTCGGGGCTGCTCAGCCCTCCTCCCTGAGGGAAAGGGGCACGGCGGGGGAGTTAGGATGAGCCTTGCCCCAGCGCCGCTCAACCGTTTCTCCTCGTTCCCCTATCCCGGCCGCCCGCTCCCTCCCGCCGCGACCGCCGCCGCTGCCGTCCCCGCCATGGCGGCGCCGCCACCGCCTCCCGGCCCGCTCCTCTCACCTGCG